GACACGGTGTGCATGTGAATTACTCCCTGCCTGGAGCTTTGCTCAACGCAGTGCTGCCGGGAAAGAGGGGCGGAGACTGTGGGCAACAGCAGAAGTGGGCCCAGACGAGGGGGGTCTTAACCTGAGCCCCGTCACAAAGGACGGGAAGGGGTTAACCAGGTGTGGGAGAGAAAAGGAGAGATGGTGACGTAAAGGGAACCCAGCCGCTCAGTACGCGTGGGAAACAAGCCTGATGGAAGCTGGTGAAGGAAACTAGTCTTGGACGCTGTTAGGTTTGTCTACAGAAGACAGGACGACATTGCCCTGGGATCGCCAGCAGCGTCACACGCCGGGAGGCTTGGCAAGAGTCCCCTCCCGAAGACGGCTATTTCTAACTCTGGCCCCCACTTTGATTCCGTGGCTCTGCTGATGTCAACAGCCAGGCAACAAATTATGCTGGCAAGGCGCCGGGCTTTCTTGCAAGTTGCAATCACGTTGGCCGCTGTAGCTGAATACTACAGCAGAGCCCCCGGGAGTGCGAGCGGAAAAGTACCTGTAAATATTCCAAAGGTTGCTTCCAAAGGCACATTATTGGTTTGTTGTGTAATACCCTCTGGTGACATTGAGGCCTTATTAATAACTAAACATCTGTCACAACTGTAATTATACTTCTTAGTGCCAGGATTGTGCGGGTTGTGCATTGTCCTGTTTAAACACGGAAGGGAGGGTGTAAATAATTTAGGCAACCGACGTTGAGTAAATAACCGAGCAGCACCGTGCGGGCAGTAAGTTTCTGTCAACTTCTTGCAGACCGTGTGTCTCCGCTGACGTTCCCTTGATGTGCTCGCAAATCTCCCTGAGAACATCGCCCTGGACCTCCGATGCGGCTGCCCGAGCAACCTGGAGAGGGGAAGCCTGAGAATGAGGAAAAGGGGGGCAGAGGAGCCCCCGGAGGGGGAGAGGAGCCGCCGAGGAGCCAGGCCCCCGACTTCCCCACTTGGCAAGTCTTCTCCCCCCAAACCCCCCGGAGAAAGCGCTTTCTCGAGTGTTTGCTCAGGACTTGATTGTTTTCAGCCCTCAGGTAGGGGGTGGTGCGGGGGCGGGGGCTGGGAGCCTTTGCTGCTGAGCGTCTGAGTGTCCTGTGGGTGGGGGCGAGGACAGGACGCCTGGGAGGGGTCCTGAGAGGATGCGCGTCCCAGCTGGGTACAGAGGTTTTACCGCACATCTTGAGCCTGACAGGTTTCCACGGGCTGTATCTGAGACGTGTGGACAGAGCAAGGGGATGGGTTTGCAAACTGACCCTGTCAGGAGCTGATTAGGTTAGGGGGTGCTTGTTAGGAAGGACAGATATCATTTATAGAGTGCGTACCCCGTGGTGGCATGGGAGCAGGAGCTTGGCAAAGATAATCGGCAGTCTCCCAGTCTTGGCAATGAACCCTCACAATAACCCCGGAGGATGTGTCATTAACCCCATTTTTACGGGAGAAAAGTAAGATATTCGACAACTTTCTCCAGATGGCCCAGGCAAAGGGAAACCCAGGATTCCTGCCCAAATCTCTCTGAATCCGAAACTTACATTCGTAACCACTGGCCTGCCTGCCTCTCCCCTCTTACAGGTGAGGAGGTCGGTTGAGGGGGAGGGGTTTTGTGCTCCCCCAGCCACACGGGTTCAGTCCTGCTCTCTTTCTTGCCCTTGGAGACGTTCAAGGCTGTAAAAACTCAAGAGGAATTTCAACTCCGGGAGGCTTTTTGTACAGAGGGAAATTTTGATCTACGTGATCAAGGAGTTGGTCTGCGGTGAGTCATAGAATCGGATACGTTCTGGAATGGTCTCCCTCGGGCTACTGGGAATGGGCCCTCCAGCCGTCTCTGCCACCAGTTGCCAGGAGGGACCGAAAGTGTTTATGGTGGGGGCCGTGAGATTATGGTTTGGGCTGCAGGAGGAAAAACGGAAGTGGGAATATATCTGGTGACTACAGCTCCTGCTTTTTAGTGATTTCTCCCAGGGGCTGGGGACGAGACTGCAGGTTCAATCCAGAATCTTCTCCAGCACAACTTACTGTTCGGGAAATGAAAGCTTGGGGCTGATGAGACCCGTGGCCAAGGGCATGGTGGGCTGAAGGGCAGGCTTGGAGCAAGTCTCTGATCAGGAGGGTTGGCTAGGGTGGGAGGATGGACCTGGGCTGGGCCTCCCCATTCCAGCTCACCGCTTCCAGGAGAGGAGCCCCAAGAGGAAGAATGGTCCATTCCAAGGGTGAATTTCCTGGTCGGCCTTTCCTCAGCCTAGGATAAGTGATCGAATCCTGGGTCCTTGCCCTGGGAAAGTAGGGGACATGTTGAGGGAGGGAGGTCAGGACTGGGGCAGAGAAACTCTTCTGCATGTCCTGTGGGGGTTGTGGCAAATGGCAAATGTGGAAAGGATAGTCATCTACCCTACTGGCTGTGACGATATCGTACAGGAAGCAGCAAAGATGTCTGATGGACTCAGAAAGACCATTTTGCTCAACATATTCCCACAATAAAAAATATTTCCTCATTTGCTCCTGTGGCTTTGGGATTTAGGATTTGGGGCCAGAGCTGTGATGGGCATGAATTGGACGGATCAGTCTTGCCCGTCTCCAAGGGCAGCAGTAGCCCAGGTGGAAAGAATCCGCTTCTCCCACACCATCGGCTTCTCCTGGGGGGTTGGCATTAATTCTTTGTGGGCCCCACGCCGAGGGTCTCTACGACTCCTGGATTATTCCTATCATGCATTCACATCACCACAAACCCATATTTACTTACTCCTTCCTTGGGGACACACTCACACATTTCTCAAAGATTTCCTTGTGCAGTAGACAGAGCAAGACGGCTAAAAAGAAGGATGAGGTGGGGCCATGGGAGGGGGGTTTGATGGTCTGGGTCTCAACACAAGGGTTGGGCATGGAGGGGACAGGAATGCGGCCCACCGGAAGCACGTCCTCACAACAGTCCCCAGCAACGTTGTCTCGCGGAGCACATTGTGTCCCGGTCCTTTGTTCCTTGGTTGGAAACTCCTTCAGAGGGGACAATGTTAGGGCTAGCTGCTACAGAGCATCAGAGGCCTCCTCAGCCCCTGAAGCAGGCTGTGTGGTGGCCCACGTGGTTATGCCTGGTGCGGGCAGAGTAGGCAAAATTACAAAGTAGGGAGGCCTCTCCTCGATGTGTCCCATCTTCCTGCCCCAGGTCATTCTCCCCCTTCCTGGTACCATTTTGGTTGCAAGTAACAGAAGTCAGGTAGAGCTCTCCTAGAAGGAAAGGGAAATATATTTGGAAGACTTTAGGCAGGGGTTAGGGACATGGGGGTTGCCTCGTGGAATCCAAGGCCTCGGAGGTGGCTGGAATGAGGGCCTAGGGGGACACAGAAAACCCAAGAAAACTACTTCTCTCTGCCTATCTATATCTCCTCAGTTTCTCTGTCCACGTGAAAATTCTCCATGTCAGGTAGCTGCCAATTTGGCAACTAGCCCCAGCTGAGAATCAGCATGGTTTCAATTTCAAATTCCCCGGGAATAGGCTCATTGTTGTCCATTCGAGATCAAATCAACAGGGTCCAGGGGAAGAGAGTCAGAGGGCACGGACACGGTTTCTTCCACTATAAATACACAGATGGGTGTGTATTTATACCCAGGTATATACCTGTATTATACACAGGTGCTGATTCCTCAGCCTGGAGGTCTGAGGGGATGTTTTTCCCCTTTTATCCAGACTATGGGATCTGGGGTCTTTGGGCCAGTTCTAGAGCTGATCCATGGATCGTCAGTAGGCCCAGATGGCCAGCTGGAAGGAGCCCTCAGGAAACAGAGAGATGCCCGGGTGGCTTCCACAAACTACAGCTAAGTAAACAGCCCTACCGCTTTGGTGCTGCCCCAACCCAATCTGAAGGAAGTTTTTCTAATATGGGGAGAAATGGATGTGGACTCTTGATATATGAACTAAAAATAGTCCATGTTCCAAACAAAGTGTTTTTAGTATTTTGAAATGAAAACGTGTAGACAAAGCAAGGATTCAGAATGCATGACTCATTAAATTGCTGATTCTGAAAGCAATGGAAATTCAAAGGGAATTTTTCTCTCCCTATGTCTCCCTCCCACCCCTGTTCTGAATAGCTTATAAAAAGAGTCTCTACATAAACAAGACCCATAAACTCCTCCATGATTTAAGGTCCTGCATAGGAGAGGCAGAAGGAACTCAACCTTTATTGCCTGCTTACTAAGCTGGCCTCCCTAGCTGGGCTGGAATCGACCAGAATCTGCCCTCCCCCAGTCTGCCCATCCTCATTTCTCTTCTTCATCCTCTCCACCCTGTCCCAAGGTGTCCAGGAATTTCATGGCCCCACTATGGCCACTGTTCCTCCCTCCCCTGGGTTCCAGGCTCTGCCGGACCTCAACAGCACTCAACTCATCAGCCCTAACAAGGGTGCCTCATCAATGAGCAGTAGCCATGGAGGCATCTTAGGGGAGAGTGCACACCATACGCTACCGTAGTGGGATTCAGCGGTGGGAACCTCCATCAACTCACTAGATGGTCTTGGGCTCATTGTTGGGTTAGGAAGGGTTGGGCCTCATCAGTGATATTTAGCTTTTTTGCTCACAAAAACCTTTCTAAAATGTCTTATGGGGAATGTTAGTACTTAAAACAGAGAAGAGGACCCATTCTTGTTGGAGCAAGGTGTGTGTGTGTGTGTGTGTGTGTGTGTGCGCGCGCGCGCACATACACACACACACTTGGGAGAATGGGGAGGTCCTCCAGGACCCCTGAGAGGAACAGTGACTTGTTTCACCCAAACAGGCTATTGGGAGACCTTCATATCACAAACCCTTAAGAGCTGTGTAAAAATCTCGCCTCCAGTCTCTCCTAGTTGCCATCATCTGCTTTCCTTCTGATCATCACCACACTTCTTGAATACATTAGCGGCTTGTTAAGTCTTGTATCCGTCCTGAGGAAAGTAAGACAACCTGTGGATGACCAGCCAAAATTTTCACCTCCTATTTCCTCAACTTCAACTCCAGTGACTTTCTTCCCTCTCCATCTTCACTCCTGTGGCCTGAGCCATCATCTTATCACCTTCTAGAACACTCCACCTCTGAGAGCTCACGCGGAGCACTCCTCTCTTTGACAACCCACTCTACAGATGTTTACCATTGCTGTTCCCACTTCAGGATGTGGAAACACTGTGAAAGAAAATCCTTTATGGATACGGGGCATGGGTAGGCAACCTCACACACTCACAACCTTCAACCCCAGTGGGTCCTCCATGTGGCCTAGATTCTTCTAGTGGTCAGGTCCTCTCACATTCTTCACCATGACTGTTTCAACCCCTGTTCACTCTTCTAAAAACCATGTCACTTCCTCCTTCACAAATACAACAAAGGCCCCAAGAAACAACGTCCTCAACTTTCTACCCATCCTCCTGTCACCTTTTCTGCATTCCGGTCCATTTTTTCTCCTCCCTTCCCATCATGGTGAAAGAGGGGGTCCCTCTACCTGTCCAAGGACCATCTGCCACGTGTGTGTGGGCATTCATTTCCAGCACTCTCTCTCACCTTCTTCCATCAACTTTACCTCCTTTATTATTCTTCAATCTCTTTCTTCTTCCCCCAATCGTAAATATTCGTTCTCATGTCACTTATCTTTTTAAAAAAAGCTGATATGTTATCATTTTGTTCAAACTTCTTGAAAACATTTCCTACTCTTGTTCTAATGCTCTACCTTTCTTTTACTTCTCACCCCTCCCTCACTGTGATCTGGCCTCTGTCCCTGTCAGTCCACTGATCATATGCTGGCTGGAAGAAAGGAGAGTGTTAGGTAGAAGGGGCAATGCCAAGATATGAGCCAGTTCAAAATTTAGCCCATCAAAATCTATTGGGTGAGTTTACAAACTCTATGGTTGATGGGCTGTGCCTACTAAATCAGGAACTTTCCAAAAAGAGCCCATAAATCTGCTGACCCCAATTCCCTTCTCTCTGGGATGTTCACTGATAGC